CTGTGTTCTTCCTCCTGCAGCCCTTACAATCTGTCGTGATCGTTGACTGTTAGCATGCTAACTGAGGCCTGAGCAGTTTCTCTGAGCATTACACGCTCTGAGCTCGGGGTGAAGTCCTGACAGGACGGTCTAATGCTGCAGACCAGCAAACTGACCTTATAGAGGTGATCGCACTCAGTGGTGTGATCAGTGATTATCAGCACCCAGGTCAGACTTCCATAGTTATTTGTGTTTCTGACCTGATTCACACGAACTGTAATACACCTTTCATGCTGAAATGTTGCAGCCGTCTTTTTGTTCAGCGATCAAATCAAAGTGAAGTGTGAGTAGAAAGACAAAGTGAGCCGTGCACGATGTCCGTCCTCATAAACACAGAGCAGCGTTAAACGTGCTTCATCCTGTCGGTGTTATTAAAAACAGCACGGCTTCATTTCCTGCTGCTGTTTGTGTCGTTGCTTTTCACAGATGCATGTGTCTTTATTTTGGTATTTATTTGCTTATTAGCTTCACGGTGGATTTAAAGGTTTGAAAGTCGGCACGTACTGAGCGGGGCTGGTTAAAGAGTCCGGACTGCGGCTGGCGTCAGTTTATGGTTATGACTGAAAATGTTGGAGCGGATCTGAGCAGGAAGTCGGGAAACTCTGGGAGTCCCCGAATCCTGAAAAGTCTGGGTTCAGATTAGTCGGTGATGTTTTTCAGACAACATCGTGACCCAGTTTTTTTGTGGGTCATGATGTTGGATCCACATCTGGATGGACTCCCATCACTAAGGCGAGAGGATGTGCAGGTTAAAATGAAGGGTGTGTGTGACCTGCCGTGTTTGTTCCTGTTCAGGTTACGGAGCCGCCGTTCGGGTCGACGAGTGCAGCTTTCACCAGGCGGTGCGGCTGGACGAGTTTGACAGCCATCGGATCCTCCGACTGTGTCCCAGCCAGGGAGAGGTGATCCTAATCCTACAGTATTACATACAGAGAAACCCAACAATCATGTGAACCCCTATGAACAAGCACTTTGGCGACAAAACTCCCTTTTAACAGGAAGCGACAGCTTTGCCTGCAGGAAGAGAGCTTGCTCCTCAGCACCATCAGAGTCACAGAGGAGCATAAAGGCGCTGCCTGAGCACTCAGCTGTTGTAGTTTCAGGGTTACGTCAGCAGCGCGCTCTGGTTTCTGTAACACACTGAAACGTTTCACTCACATCATCAAATCAGACTGAACTCTGAGCGTGTGCAGTTTGTTTCTCGACTGCTCCTCATGCTCTTCATCTCCTCCTCTTGCAGCAAACTGTGATGCAGTACCAGCTCAGCGACGACCTGCCGTCTGCGCTTCCTTTCCGACTCTTCCCCACCATCGAGAGAGACAACGGAGGAAGGTAGGACCTTCAGACACATCGACACAAACTACATGAGGTTCAGAAACCTGCAGTTCCTCTAACGTCCAGCAGAGGCTCCAGCGGTGCACTGTCTCCTCAGACTCCCCAGTTAAAATGTGGCGTGGCCTCCTTAAACGATTCTCATAAAACCTGTAAGTTAAACGAATACTATGCCAACATGAAACAGGTGAAGGCTGAGTGACGGACACATCGCTCACTCAGCAGCTGGTTGCAGGGTGAGGGTTGTTGTTGCACAGTTGTGCCAGCAGAGGGCAGACAGTCTGAGCAGGTGTTTCACCTCCTGCAGGCAGGTGAGGTTTGATCTGTGAAAGGGTGAGCTCCGCCGCCCCCTTTCAGGTATATTCGCCTGATTCTTCACCCGTTTGTTCACTCCAGGCTTCCCTGAGCTCAAACTGACATTTAACGGCCATAAAGGGAAAAACGTGCTGGAAAACAGGAAGCAGGCTGCTCCAGCAGTTTTCAGCCTACACCCTGTTAACAGGCTTTCTTCCATCGTTTCCTGCTGCTTTAGTG